GTTAAACTAGCAATTCCGTATTATATTTATAAATCTTTATAACATTATACAAAAATTAGATTTTTCTTAAAAATTGAAATTTTGCCGGGAATGGGGCTTTAAATACACATAAAAGTTTGATTATAATTGCACTAAAATATGAATAATAACAATATGAAATATGTTACACTGTTAACTTTCGGTAACAGTGTGACTGTCGTAATAAGAAATTTCATTGAATTTTACAGTGATTTTATCTACTTAGGTTAATTAAATCTTAACCAATGTTTTAGTACCTTATAAATAGTTTTATTCCTACACTGTAGAGATGAATGTATTTAATAGCTTTTAAGTAGCCAACACAAAGTGAAAATATTAATAATAATTGATCATAAAAATGTGTCTGTTACCACAAAAAATGCTTTTTTATATTACAAAGTTAATATAAATTAGACTGAATTTATTTAATTAAATTTAATTTAATTAAATTAAAATTTAATTTTATTAAATGACATATGTATATGGGTCTATTAAATCTATAACTGTTGGATATTAATTAAAATTTAATAATAATGTAAATTACTATATTAAATAGGTTTCCTGTACGCTGAAACCTATTGCCATTACCATTTGCATCGGTTTTAGTCAAGTATTTTATAGTAAATTTAGTTTTGGTTCAAACATTGCTATGAATATGGACAGATACTCTCCTTAAGATACCCATCAGATAACCAACTATTAATGGATAATAATACATCATTCCATAAAAATTCACTGTAGCACTCAATGATAAGGATAAAAAAGAAATTAAATTACCATTGTAAGCATTTTACTTTCTTAATTATTCCAAGATACATGATTTTAATCCAAGATACGTGATGGACAGTAGTTTTTATCGGCATGGCATCTTACTTTGAATTTTTCTTAACTTTTTGATGTAAATTTCTGTTTGGTGATCTTGTCTAGTGTTTTGCTTTTAAACAATCCAAAAATATTTGTTAGTGCTTTATTCTCTTTTATGTTGCGCCTTGTTAAATCTTAGTACTGTATGTTATCTTTTTTCACGGTATGTTTTTGATGTGCTAAATTGTATTGAGATGCTTTTTAATGTCCCAATTTTCTATGTAAGTTTTAATGTAAATTATATATCAAGTACAGATTTTTTTGTAAATTTCTATTTATTAAATTCTGTACAGCGCCTGCAAACATTTTAAATTGATATTGTGTGCGCCTTATTAAATAGATATTGTGTGCGCCTTATTAAATAAAGTTATTATTTTTATTATGACTGACATAAAATAAGTACTGATCGAGTTTATTTGTTAATTAATTCTATTAAATCCATAATATTGACACTAATTTAAGAAAACTTAGAAAAGCATATTTATATTGTAGATTGATATTTATGTCACACTGTTACCGAATTCTAATTATGTATTTTTAATTACATTTTTCTAATTATAATTTTTAAAATTATGTTTTTTATTTAGTTATTTGAGATTTACCAACCTATTAAGCAAAAAAATATATTTTTTTTTATTTAAACACTTATAAGCTATTTTATGTATTTTTTTTGTTAATTAGTTATTTCCTGTATTCCTCTTCCCCCCAAAATATAAGCTATTTTATGTATTTTTTTTGTTAATTAGTTATTTCCTGTATTCCTCTTCCCCCAAAAATATGGTGCTAAATCATTTTTTTTTTCAAGACATATGGTTTTATGAATTGATTATAGATCTATACATCCTTACAAGAAACATTATTATGACGATATGTTATTTATTGTTGAATAAACCTGCTTTTTTAACATGGATATTCATGTGGACATTTTGTCACACTGTTACCGTCACACTGTTACTGGGTATTTAATTAGTTATCATTTAATATTTTTTGTATTCATCAACCATTTTAAAAATAAATTGTGTCACATTTAAGCTTAAACTGTATCTCATGTTATGCATACTGTACATTGAAATTAAAATATCTACTTCCAGTTCACAGGGTTTTAGCATTATGTAATCAGGCAAAAAATTGATGTCCTTTTTCGTCACACTGTTACCAACGCAAATATTAGTTATTATTTCATAAATGTAGCTAGTTAAAAAAAAATGAATTGTTGATAAAAAGGGTGTAGTAGTAGTTGTAAATAAAAAGTTTGTTTGATGATGTTCATTGATTTTTCTAAAAAATTATGTGATTGAAGTTAAAAATTTGTCTTTGAATGTCACACTGTTACCGTGGAATTGCCCAGCTTTCGATTTGTGCGACGCTAGAACGGAATCACTAATGCGTGACCGTCCTGCCTGGCGTCTTACGTTCTCTGCATACGTAAATAGATTTGGCCAAATTGCGTTCCAGAATCTAATCTAATTTGCCTAAACTTTCTTGATGTCGTAGGTTAGTTTTTGCCCAACAACAACCAATTCAAATAAACACACCCGTCTGAAGGAAGTCCACCCACTTACAATGCATGATGTAACGAGTTATTTTTAGCAGAGTCTCTGTGGAACGCTAGTATCCATGCTGTGAATGAACGATCCAATCAGCCACTGGGCGGGTCTCTTTAGGGGTGGACCGCGGTGTTGCCTATTTTTATACGCAGCTGTAGAACGCACGAGTCTTTACGCTGTTATTTAACGATCCGATCAGCCCACTTGGCGGGTCTCTTTTAGGACAGACCTCGGTGTTGTAAATTTTTAGCTGCAGTTAGTGAGCTGTTTATGTAGTGACCGTAAACAACAAGAGTAAAGAATAGGCTTTGCATTTTTAACTTTACGGCGATCACAATGTCTGATCTAATCAATTGTAAGAGTTTGAAATCTGCCAAATTCGGAGCCAATTCCTTTATGTTTTGTTAGCATTTGTTTTTTGATTTTTTTTATTTCATTGGCTGACAAATAAATATACAATACTGTACAACACCCACCAATATCTCACCAAACGTTTCCCATGGCATGCTGGAATAAGACTATAATTCCCTTATATTTTATCGCCATCAAAATGAAAACAAACTAGAATAGGTTAGGTTTCAGTTCCTTCAACATGTGAACCAACATTTGCTTTTCTTTAATAGCTAAATCTTCTTTTATATATCCATAGTGTTGTTGTATCTAAAGACTGTTCCTGCTATGTTGGGTATGCAAAGCATACCGGAGAAGTACATCTACAATTAGAGGAATGCCCTCCCCTCCCTACTATGCCACCATCGATAAAATCAACAAGCGCAGCTCCAACAACTACACAACAGAAGCCAGATAATACTACACAGAAACCAGCTACTACTGCACAGAAACCAGCTACTACTGCACAGAAACCAGCTACTACTGCACAGAAACCAGCTACTACTGCACAGAAACCAGCTACTACTGCACAGAAACCAGCTACTACTGGAACTAATATTACCACAAGTGAGCCTATTGTTACCACAGAAACACTAATCACTACCAGTGAAGTACCACAGAGTTCCACGGAGAATCAAGATGTTTCCACTTCTGCTGGGGACAAAACCAATGCTTCTACACCGAATTTGCAGAATCCTGCCATGACGCAGAGGACAAGAAGAGACATGCCAGTCCAAATACAACATGCATGTTGTCAGATTGCATTCACGAAACAAAATCAATCAAAGAAATTACTGTTTAATGCCACTGGATGGACAGTCGAATTTAACTGTTCCAACAACTCTTTAGAAAATGTGAGTATGGAATGTCATGTACAGTACATTTCACTAATACGGTAGAATAATAATATGGGGAAAATTACATGCCAAATAAGATTAGATCCCTGTTTCTCAACCTTTTCTACATTGGGTCTATGGTCAAAATGTTGTGGGGAAAATTACATACCGTACCAAACCTGATGAAGGTATTTAGGTACACTTTAGATTAGATCCCAGGTTCTGAATTTTTTTCTACACTGGGCCCATGCTCAAAATGTTGTGGTACCATAGGTGGGTTCTCATATGGTTAAAATAACAAACCAAACCAAATGAAGGTATTTCTACATACTGTAAGTCATTTTCAGTTAAATCTTTTTCTACACTGTGTCCAATTCATTAAACCTACTGTAGAGTAATATTATGAGGAAAATTACATATTAATACTCATCCAAACCAGATAAAATATTTCTACATCAGCTGTAGGTATTTTAAAAATAATAGATCCCTGATTCTCAACCTTTTTCTACACATGGTTCAGACTCAAAATGCTGTGGTCCCATAGGTGCCTATGGTTTGGAAATATATTGTAGACCTACTTTACAATATAGTGTAAACATTTTAAAACAGCATATTATAATGTAGCTCTGCCATTTTTATGGGCAATTTGCCAGGCATATTCTGGGAGATGAAATTTTAGGCTATACCATTTATGAAAATGGGTTTGTGAAACTTCATACTCAAATACTTGCTCCTTCTGCAGGTGGTGAGATGCAATAATTCTGGATGCAATGACATCGGATTTTTTAAGACTCGGTTCAAGTTTGAGAAACAATTCAAGGTGCCTAACGAATGCACGAATGTTACCAAGAGTAAGTAGACTTTTGCTAAACCAGTGAAATGAGCCAATTAAAGGCAGTAACTAAGGTGTACCATAATGTTTTATTTGGAATAAATTCATTTCAAAATGGTTTATTTTCATACTACGCTCACGCTAGGGTCAAATTTTCTTTCGCCAAAATGGCGAAAGGTTTTTAATTTTTTCGCCAAATTGAAAATGCTTTAACCAAATTTAAAAACCAATAAAATTTCACAAAAACGGTTCCATAAATGAATTAATTGCTTATTTATTTCTTATTCATTTGTAACCAGTTGTAAAGGCGGTAATAATAATAATATAAATGATTGAACAAAGGAAACAAAAATGATCGTTTACAATATATGGGACCGATAGCTACCGGACCTGCTCTAGGCCTAGTGCTTCGTCTAGGCATTAGGCCTAATTCAAATTGGGAGTAGAGAGTGCCTCATTTTTTGGCATTACAAGCGACTGCTATTTTAAATACTGTTTCGTACAGTAGAGTAGGCCCTACCTGGTGTTTTGCTCTGCAGCATATCGAATGTAAAAATTTTATCAATAAAATTGATGCTTTTATATTATTTGACACGCATTTTTGGTCTTCTGTACTCTTCTATAAACACAACACATTTTGGTCACCACGATGACCTTTCCGGAGGGCAGAGACCGCGCCTCCAAAACCCTGCCCGGCAATTGGTTAATATTTTTCTGGGGTGCGGTGTTGGCGTGCAAGCACGTGCTTAGATTGGGATGATGTCAGATCGCCCAAAGTTTCATAGTGCATGACACAGGAACAAACTCAGTGTAAGACGATGAAAACAGATTTATATAAACGAATATAGAAACCCTAATGGTTTTGTTTTAGAGATAAATATAAATAAATTTAAATTTCATTCTCTACAAATTTCCTCCGTAATCAGGGGCGGCGGAAGCATTTATTGATTGGTCTGGCGTGAGAGGCTCCGATAACCTCAGCCCACCATGGTTAGGGCTGAGGTAAAAAAAATTTTGTAAAATTTACACGTCTAGATGCTCGGAAATAACATTCAAGTTCTTAATTCATTCATCACTATGCTGAGGGCAGAGACTGTGCCTCCGAAACCCTGCCCGCCAATTGGTTAATTTTGTTTTCAGGGGTGCGGCAGTGGCGTGCAAACACATGCTTCAATGACATCAGATCGCCCAAAGTTTCATAGTGCATGACACAAGGAACAAGCTCAATGAAGACGATGAAGATTTAATTTAAACATAACAAGAAACCCTGATGGTTTTATTTTAGAGATAAATATAAATAAATCTAACAGATTAAATTTCATTCTCTACAAATTGATTGGTAATTTTTTAGAAAATAATTAGAAAATTTTGTAAAATGTTCACGTCTAGATGCTCGGAAATAGCACTCAAGTTTTTAGAACGCCAGGCCACTGAAAAGAATCACCCTGGTAGAAGGTTTTACTAATTTTGTTTAACATACTGTCCTGTCATTTTAATCAATTTATCTCCATGGCATGGCATGACAGTTCATTTTCACGGCATCTGGTAGACGTATGCTTGTTGTTTTGTTGTGAGTTAACTGATCGTCTGGTTTAAGAAGTTGATTTTTGTGTTTGGACCGAATATTACATTCGGAATTAGGAAAGATTCGAATTTTCGGAATACAACACATGTATTATTTTAAGTAGTATAATAACTATGTTTTAAATAACGAAATCGCCGAAGAAATATCGTTCTAGCATTCTCTCTTAGCGTGGGAACGATAGTTTCAGCGTGTCATGTGCAGACAATGATCAAATTGTTTGCTTCGAAGCCCATGCATGCCCAGAACGATTTATTTATCTGGGATTTTCGACATGAACTTGACAATGTCTATAAATCTCTACTGAACATGTGGTGAAAATCGGGTTGCTTAGTGATATCTCCGCTGCTCGCGATAACTTTAAAAGAGTTGAGCCTAGCCTAGGCCTAGCCTTGACGAATCTCAAATTTGTTTACAGTATATAAAAATTTGCTTTCGCCATTTTGGCGAACGATGCAAACTTTTTCTTTGCCAAACGGTATCTTAATTCGCCGTTGGCGAATCGGCGAATTGGCTAGTGTGAGCATAGAATCCATGTAATGAAATAGACCCTAAAAGATAACAATAATTATATAAAAAAAAACCCTGTAGAATTAATCATAAAACAAATTTGCAATAATATAATATTAATACATGTAGTTAATTTACTTACAAAAAAATAGGCCACAGACAATAATAATAATTAAATAGCAAAAAAAGAACAAAAAACTTATGGAATTAATTCTAGTAAAATATGCAATTGTAATTGATGTCGTTTAGTTACAAAAAATAATCCATTTGAGTTTTAAAAAAAGCTTTGAGCAAGGCTTCTAGGTATGTGTGCATTGTAAATTTTGTAACAGATTTCAATAATACACATACTGTACCAATCAAGCTGTATGAATGTGGAGCTGTAGATTGGTGGTTAAAGTTGCTTGCCTTCCGTTCCCAAGGTTCTAGGTTGAACTCCTCAAAGTCACAGGATTTTTCTTCACTACAAAAACATCTCCACTTCCAGACAAAAATATGACGACAGGGGTCCAACAATTGAGGGTCCAACCTGGATTAAAATTACTGGTAGTTCATGGGGAGAGATTTTATGGTTTAGGGTGGTCCAAAATTGTGCTTTAGACCAGAATATTGTGGATTGGCAAGTACAATAACTTGATTTAGATATGCTCCCCCAAACTGCATTGACTCATTTTAAATTCAGGTTTTATTGGTGTTTTAACAGTTTGCATTTTGCAGATTGAAATCCTGTAAGCCCTTTTTCTTCTTCTTTCAAATTTAAGGCCAACTTCATAGTTCACTTCTGCTGCAGATTGAGTCTCACCAGAATTAAGAACAGGATCAATAAATAAATGAAGTAAAATATAAAATAAAGTAAAAAAGAGCATGTAACCCAAGGCGGGGCCCTTTCTGGTACTAACCATTTATTCTATCAAAGTTTGATTAGTTCTGTTTAAATGTGTTTTGCTTGTGTGGCTTGGTTCTCTGAACTGACCATTGCGAATACAAATAAATAAAATAAAATAACAAAGGCAGCCAGTAAAATTGTAAATGAAGATCAAACCCCTGTTGCAGAAATTCATGAAAAGGCTCTTGTTAAAAAACTAAATGAAATAATTGTAAATGGTAATTGTATTTTAAAATTTGGCCATCGGGTTTAGACGATACACACATCTTGTGTTGGGCTCTTAGCCCATGGAGTCCTCTTGACACCCCTCTGGCCTTTTCTTGATTTGTGTGCTGAATATGTAATAACAAATAAATACCACTACTGCTTCCAAAACCATTGCTACTCATTATAAGACAATACTTATTCTCTCTTTGCCCATGTGCCTGAAAAACATATGTATCACTCAGATTTATGCAGTGATACCAATCTGTGTAAAGAAAGATACTGTATCTTTCTAAAAATTGTGCTCACACCACATCCATATTTTTTTGACTAGGCAAAGGACCAATAAAAACTGAAGACTTCCTCTTTGAGACTATTAATAGCGACTTGATTGAATCATGCAATAACCAAAGCAGAAATAAATGTTCAAAGTTGAACCTTACCCAAGCTACCTGCCCATCACAGGTATTTATGACGTCATTTGTTTGCTTATAAGACATTGCTCCAGCCACCTTAAAAGAATAAATCTAGATTGTTTAGTGGTACATATACTGTATAGTACATGCTAATGGATGCTTCAGCTCGAGATATAAAATCAGCCAATCAATGGGTCAATATTTACATGGTCATACATATTCATGGGTAATAATGACTAGTACAGTATTCCGATTGATCAGTAGTGTAATGTGCTAGACCCAATTTGCTTAGCATTGAAATGGTAAATACTGTACATGTAAGTAGTTTGTGTATTTTGTCTGTGGATGTATTTCCTTATTGCCTTTTGATAAAAACATTACCATTAATTATAACATACTTATATATTCAGTGGCGGATCCATGAAATAGAGGGGGCCCTTTGGAAAGACTTTATACAGTAGATGGGGGATCTATACCACCTTCTTGATAAACTTTGGCACTGTATGTATTCATTTTATATTTTTGTCATCTGACAAGCAATACGATTTTCTCTATTTTTATATGGAAAAATAAAATATCTTGAATCTTGAATCACAACAGCCCCAAATGGAAATGTAAGATTATGACATTTCTAGATGGCTGGAAATGACACTCTCAAACTTAAATTTAAATATAATTTTCCTTTTTTCTCCAATTAAAAAAACAATTTTTAAAAATGTAGGTTGGGGAAGGGAAGTGGGTGGGCTGGAAATTTAAATATAATTTTCCTTTTTTCTCCAATTAAAAAAACAATTTTTAAAAATGTAGGTTGGGGAAGGGAAGTGGGTGGGCTGGCTTCCCCTCTCCCCCCTTGAATCCGCCATTAATATTTATTCTTATTTGTTTCTCTATGTTGCGCTGTTGATTACATAAAACCTAAAATGTGTATTTTTTTTTATCTTATAACTTGCAGTCTGACTTCTGTTGTTGTCCACTGCCAGATGGCCTCTGCAGTAAGACTCCGCCTCCTATATCCACAACACTCCCGGCTTCTCCTCGTCCAAGCAAGAAACATGGGGCTGTAGGTACTCATCATGTGAGGATTCTGTTAAAGATTTCTAAGTTTACCTACCTCTGTTGACACTATTACGTTTTATGTGACAAATACCCTGTTTTGGTTGCATATATGATATAGTGCCCATATATGGGTGTGATATAACAACATCATGCCCATTTATGAGTATGATATAACAACATCGTGCCCATATATGGGTGTGATATAACAAAATCATGCCCATTAATGGGCAAATCACTCAAATTTGCCACAAAATTAGTGTGGATGCTGCTAATAAGTACAAAGTAATTGAGTATTTTTGATGTTCTTCAAAATAAGTTTTATAAAGCTGGACACTCACTTCGCGTTACAACGGTCGCACGACCGTCGTAAAACTCACTGCGCGTTACAACGGTCACACGATGTCGTACAACGAATCCATCTCCCTGTCAGTGCTAGACGACGCGATCACCGTCTGCTGCTTGTAGGGTGGCAGTCTGAACAGATCGCCATTAAAAACAATCCATCGCGCTGTGCTGTTGCATTGCATAGGCTTTAATAATAAGTGGAGTTGATTTGATTTGAATTTAAAAATTGAACAGTAATGAAAGTTACCAATATCTGAATTATAAACATTGAATGCTGAGAATACATAAATGGTATTAATGAGGAAGATGTTTGATCCAATAAATAACTAAAATATACTGTACAAAGTAAGAAATTTACAAATATAAGTAAGCCAATTAATTCAACCATTGTAAATCAACTTATCAAACATTTTGATAAGTCAAAGATTGCCCAATATTTTCCATAAGGAGAATGGTTAGATATATAATAATAATAATAATAATAATTATTATTATTATTATTATTATTATTATTATTATTATTATTATTGTTATTGTTATTATTATTGTTATTATTATTTATCAAAAATATTGATAAGTCAATGATTGCCCAATATTTTCTATAAGGATAGTGGTTAGATATATAATAATAATAATAATAATTGAAAATTGAAAAATTTGTTATTCACAAAGCCAAGCCACTAGAGCATAAGCATGTGTTTGCATTGACGCTTTTATTTTGGACACTGAATTTTGACCTACTATACTAGGTTATAGTATTATTCATTGAAATGATGAATATTTGTTAAATCTTAGTCATCACTAAAGCTGATCGCTACAGCAGATTCGGTAAGAATAAAGTGGAGCTGATTCCTTGAAATTGTTGTGGTTTTATAATTTAGCAAATATAAAAAGACGACTTAAGTATAAAGATGTTAAATTCATCAACACCACTTCATGCTAAACTAAGTAAACATTTTTTCTTTATAATACGCAATATGTTGCTAAGAAATCCAAAAATAAAATAGACAGAATTAGCAACTGGAATCACAAACTGGCACAGGTGGATTTTTTTTTTTTTTTTGGTGAGGGGAGCGTGGTTAAGACAAATTCTGCCATCGACAGGAATTGAACCCAGTACCCTGAGACTGGAATGCAAACATCTTAAATTCCAAGCTATCCAACTCCACTCTATGATTGTGTTGTGTACTTTATAATCTTATATTTTCTAAATACATAAATTGATGTAATGTTTATATTTAGCACAAGTCTTTCGATTGGAGGATTGTTGGCTACATTGGCATATTTGTTATCTGTGGTTTATTTTTGACATTTGTTGGGAGGATGATCCATGGGAAGAAAAAGAATGACCAACTAGAAATTCCCAACTACAAGTACAGTCGTCTGCGAGCTGATTACGTGGATCAAGAACCTTAAAAGATATCTACAGTCAAAGTCATCCGGAAATAGCCTGTCTTAAAGAAAGGTCATGATGTCTCTAAAGGTGAATTTAGGGTAACAATCACTACTGATATTTAGTGCCAAAGAAGGGTACAGACATATATTTTTGTTTTAGCCTTTCTACAGGTATATCAAAAAATTTCCCTTATGAGCTGTTTCTGCAAATATATCGAGCAAATTTTTCTATTTTAACATTTTGTGTAAACTTTTGCTGGTCTAATGCACACAAACGCATACAGTTTATTTATGCTAAAGTGGAATTTGTTGAGCATGTGCACTAAAATTAGCTATTTGGTGTAATATATGCTACATTGGCAGGGTATTAGAAATATATAATACATTATTTTGCTTTATTAAATGTTGAACAAAATCACATTCACAGGAATCCCAAGTTTCGCACAACTCGCGCGAGTCTCCCTGAGTCTCCCGCAAGCAAGCATGAATCTCCCGGAAAATAACCCATCTCCTGTAAATTCATAATATTTGCTTGTTTTCATGTTTTATCTTTTATCATTAGCTGTTCCCTCCAATTGCAGACTCCCTCTATTTAGAGACCAAAGACCATGGTTTTGGCAGATCCAAATGAAAATCTTCCCTCCAATTAAAGACCACTATAAAATACATAATGATGTTAATGCAATTTTGTTATATATGATTTACACATAAAAATATTACACGATGGACATAATAAAATGTTTTGTGTATATAGTGTTTTTTGTATATTAAATGACAATAATGGTGATGATGTTAGTAATTACTGTAATATTTTAATGGAGTTGGGTAAAACGAGTACAGGACTTCATCTCTGGCTACCATGAAATGTTTTATTAAGAATATCCCTGAGAATAAGTAAGCTCATGTAAATCTATTTTAAATTATTTAATGTATTATTTCCTAATTTCACTCTAAATAGAGAAATCTAAAGACCGGATTTAATGCCCATGGTTTCCAAGTCTCCTGCAGGGTACTGGAAATTAGGCAGGAAGGCCTCCTGCGCTTCCGCTAAGAATCTTCTGGAAAAATAAACCATCTTCCGCAAATTCACAGTATTTGCATGTTTTTACAAGTATTTACTACTGTATTATCAATTGTCTCAGCATGTGCAGCAACTGTGTACATGTATTAAAAAAACTCATTTAAACCGATCTCCCAGATGTGTATTCTTCCTACTACTATTATTACTTTAAATTATTCTGTACATTTCAAATTTTCCTTAAAATCGCAATAAAGTTACTTTGAATCTTGTGACCCCTGCTTTCAGGTCGTGTAAAACCCAACACTTTGCAAGTTAGCAACGTTTTCACTGCAGTTGTATTTAGTGTATGCACAGATTTGGGGTCAAGTCTAATCTAATTATAGTTTACCATAGAGTACAACGCTCTTGTCGTCACAACACCAGGTGGCGCCCCTTTGTTGCCAACCAGACAAGCGGTCATTACGCCTAAATGACCTCATAACCTTAATGGTTTAGAATAGGTTTTCTGGAATAGGCATTTTAAAACCTAATAATTTACCATCAAAATGTACTAAAAACACAAAAGCTCACATTATATAGTTATTGAACACATATTTAATCATCAATTAAAATTTACAAAAAAAATTAAGGTACATCTTATTAATTGCGTTAGAAATTCGGATCAATGGTTTGTCAGTGGGGACATTTTGTGTCGCTGATAGCAACTGAATAGTATCACATGTTATCATGACGTAACAGTGTAGTACTCTATATTAAAGATGCTAAATCATGGATTGTATAGCATTCATGATGAAGTTTTATGTAGAGTATAGTGCCTTACCCTTCAAACTGTATTATTTGTATAATTTCAGTACAGTACATGACACTGTACAATTTGGATTGAATAACACATGTTTTCCAATATTAGAGAAGCTACATCCGGGGATATGGTTTAACAAACGTTCTTACACATGTTATTGTATTTTGCTGCTTTTGACCATTAACCCATGGCCAGCTACTGTAGCTTGAGGGAGAAAATTAATAGTAGAATAGTAAAACATGCAAATATTTTGAAATTTTGTGAGATGTGTTAGTTTCAGGGAAATGTTTGCTTGCGAGATTTTTGTTTGCTTGCGAGATTTTTGCTTGCTTGCGAGAATGCATAAGAGCATGCTGATTTTAGGTAAGCTCCCACAACTTATGGGTGGTTTGAGACCCCCAGTAGAATATTACACTTGTCAATTATGTTTTATGTGGTAGTAAAAACATATAAAATGTGGATACAGTATTAAAGTCAGAATTTAATTTTGTTTGACCTTTCAACATGGCTTGATATTTGATCCTAGCACCTGTTTTCTCATATTTTTATATTTCTTATTGTGCTTTTATTTGTTTTTTAATTTAGTGCTTGTATTTGTTTTTCAAGGTTCTTCATAGAATGTGTATAGTATATTTGCATCAAGATAAAGAGTCTGCAATGGGAAGGTGCTTCTAATATTGAAGGCAATATAAATGTTGTGAACATTCCATGCATGTTTCTTATAAAATTTATTTACTTTTTTAACCCAAACCATCAGATGTTAGATGTAAAAGTGACATTAAATACTGTTTATGTTGTGTACTGGGTTTCATTCAGTGATATTTCATAATTATTTAATATTAATTATTAAATTAATTTTATATATCATCTCATTCATTATAGTAATTATAATAAAATTTATATAACACCTTATACAGTACAAACATTCCACATATTATACCCATATGATCACTTCCTGTAAATAGATCATTCCAATGCATATATCATGTTCAAGGAGAATTGCCCATCATCAATACAGGGCTACCAGGAGAACTTAGGCCCAGCCAGTCACAATATATCTAGCATGGTGGTTTTATAGATATTGTAGGTATGTTTTATTTAATATATTCCCACTTCTAGGCGCTGTGGATTATTTAATTGAATTGAATTGAATTTGATTTTTTTTTAGATACAAAAATCCTTGATCGTTAGACCTTGATCTGTCTAATACCTATGTGTTAAATTATCCATATAATATCAGAACTGAAACTGAAAATAATTAATAATTTTTTACTACCTGAGATGTAAGAAACAAAGGAAACAAAACTGGAAAATATTGTGACCTTTTTCATTGAATATCCAGGATTGTAATCTGACCCTGGAGATGATCGGACAAGGAATCATCTCAAGCCCAGAATGGGCGCTTTGTTCAGATATTGATTTATTTTTTTTTACATGCTTATAAAATTGCGTATGTATTTTATTTGTATTTGTATTGGACTGAAAGCCTTACTTTCTGCAAGTTTTTTTGTAGTAGTACTGTATCATGATTGTTTTATGTATAATTTTATGACAATGTGGAGAAGTTAATTGATTGATTTGTATTGAACAAATGCTGTACACTAAAATGTAGCTTTTACATTCCTTAGGTTATTTGAACTTGAAGTTTATGATGAATATTAAATAAATAGAATAGTTTATTGTATCTCCTGTATGCAGATGTTCCAACCACCTATTACTTTTCTCTCATGCATGTATTAGCAGCGGCCTATCTAGAAGTCTTGTAATGGGGGGGGGGCTGATAGTGGGGCGCGAAGGCGGAGTGGAGGGGGCTCGATGATTAGTTGAGGGGCCCTAATTCGCAAAATATGGTGATTTTAAGGTGATTTTAACTACTTGACCATGATTTTGGGAGGTGGGGGCAACTGGGGAATGCGAGTAATTATTTTGGGGGGGTGCGCACACCTGCGCCCTCCCCTAGACACGCCACTGTGTATTAATCTTCTGGAGTGTCGGAATACCAAGTACACACTGCTCAGACTGTTGTTGGCCATGGGGAATGCAATGCAACTGATCGTTTTTAATTACAATCCACTCTGACTGTTGTCAAAAATAAACAAGCAGTGTCGCATTGTCAAGTGAATAAAGAAAGTGGAGATGGAGGATTCGTCGATCAACAGCCCTCACAGAGAAAGTTGGTACAGAAATGAAAAATTATGCATACTCAAGAAGCAACTAATACCCTTTTTTTAATTTTTCTTTATTAATTTGAAAGATTTGACAAATTATGGAAATTTTGGAGATTCCCCCAAGTTGAATGGAACATCTGTGTATAAAGGTACATTTAATTGCTGAGAAATCAAATTTTGCTTTACATGTTACTTGTTTCAAAAACATGGTTAATGTTTTGTTTACTGTTTTATATGTTTGTATGATGATTTAGTGTTCAGCTGCACTGTATATGGTGTTGGGTTATTTTTCCTTATAAAAAATAGAATTTCTTAAGCTTTCAAGTTTTCTCCCAAAACTAGATAAAAAAAATTTGTCTAGCCATTGATTGTGAAATTGCTCAGCATTACATTCAAGTTCAGCTTGGTGATTAAATGTTTCTGAATAACTGTACAATAAGATCTAATGTACCTATTTAACCAATTGTAAACCGTAAAACCTTGAACAGAGCCCTGGGCTTCTCTTTTTTTTGTAACTTCGGGATGGGCTGCTTCTTTTCGAAATGGACTTCCTTTTTTTCTAGTCTATTTTTGCGAACTAAAGAGGGCGCTTCAATTCAAGATGGGCTTCTCAAGATTAAGCACATTGAGCTTCTATTCAAGGTTTACGGCATTGTTCTGAAATACAGTATTTATTAGTGTATTATTTAGGGGAAAGAGAACTCCATTTTTGTGCTGTACCGGTATGTTAGTGTTCGGAATGAGCAAGGGTATGTGCAGTTGAGCATATATATTTTACTTTCATAAAACAAGAAATTAGACAATTAAGATGCATTTTTGCCAAATATTAATTTACTCAGATTTATTATTAGTATATATATATATATATTTTTTTTTTGGTTTGTTTTAAATGGAAAATAAATATTTGAAATTTTGGAAGCAAATCAAAGATATGATTCTCCTTTTACAGTACCACCTGTGTCATATCAATTGTTATCAATGTTAGACCATATACTTTTAAAATTTCACTGGTAAAGATCGTTATATGTAGTAGTGTATTTCGAAGTGGCGTGTGCGTGCATGAGACCGTTCCCATATTTTAACTTCAAAAGGAAAAAGAAAGAACCATCTTCCATAGCCATAGAAATATTATAGATACTGTAGATGATGGCTCTGCATTCTGTAAGCTCCACCCCCTTGAATATTATTGTTAAGATCCTGTAAATCATGGCGTAAGCAGTGGTGACTCCAGAAGTTTGCTAGACCAAGTTCGACATTAGGTCTGAACCAAGGGCAGACTAGTATAAGCCTCAGACAGGGTCTCGAAATAGAAATTCCTGGAATGGTTCATGGGGAGTTTTTGGTTCCTGTACTTTCAAGCAAAGGAACCTTTATCATACCCTTCGTGTGTATGAATGTATGTAGGCCTATGTGACGTGTATGCTACATGTATGTTATGCTGTTTTTTGTAAACAGGCAAAAGTGACTTTCCAGATATCTGTTTGTTATATGAACGTCCGTACCCAAGCAAAACTGGATATGACGTTGTGCCCTAATTTTCGATTTTGACATATTAATTAAAGCCATAACTATAATGAACCCCTACCATTGAAAAATTAACTCAGTCATAAGAGGAAAACATTTATGGAATGTTGTTTACTTTCGTTGTCCAACTAACTGTCTTAAATGTGATGGATTGAACTCTAAGGATGGACTTTCCTGGGTAGTATGGACAGAAAATTTTATCTACAGATACAGCATAGAATTTAATGGGCACTATTTCCTATTCGCGCCGATTCTGAAGTTTGATTGATAATGACATAGGGGGCGCAATTTAAGTACATTTTTACTGCGGATGTTTCTGATGTCTCGCACTCTTTTGCTTAGGCTTAGGCCTGAGCTTTGGGCCTTTTTTTTGTCAACATTTAGTGGTTTTACATAATCTACAGCAAAAATGCACACGTTGTTTGTTCATAGTTCAATATGCAAATTCTTATATGCGTTGCCTTATCATTATTGATTATTTGTGGATTGTTATTTATCGGTTCAAAAATGACATCGGAAGACACCCTCGATAACCAAGCGGATGACTTGCAACGTCTCAGTCTGGATGAACGTCCCGCTGTATATGGAAACGAAACAGTGCGAAAACGATTTGCTAACTTCAAAAACACAAAAGAAAATACGCAAGCTCAGACAAATAAGTTACCATCCAAGTCTAGTGGGAATAAGGTGAACATATTGATGGATGATTAACAACAACTGTAATAATAATGCTGTATTTAGTGTTAAGACGGCAAATTATTAGACTAATTTATTCAAAAGTTCTAGGCCTAGGCTAGGCCCTACCTAGGCTACTACTAGGCCTAGTACTTGACTTAGCCTAGCTATGCCCCCTCTAGAGGCTAGGCAGATAGTATTGTACTAGGCTAGTAGGCTAAGGCCTATTCACAATGTAATCAGTGTTGGCGCCAGGACCGGCCCGACGGAGGGGCCAAAGCCCCGACGGGGGGGGGGGGGGCTAGGGGAGCGAATCGAGTCTTAAGCGAATCGAGTCTCACCTGGCTGGGGGCCATGGGGCCGCCTAGCTAGGGCCCCCGGTGGGGGTCCAGTGGGCGAAGACCCCTGGAAGCCATGGATATTTGATGAATTATGGCGAATTTTTATTACTAGGCCTATAGGCCTATTTGATAGGCATCGAGTTACTATAAATATAATATGACTTCATGTAGGCTATTAGTACTCTGATGTTGAGTTGAAATCAGCTTCCAAAACCAAAACATTTTGAATAAAGCAAGAAACAAAGAGTATGCAATGTAACCATCTAATTTATTTTCAAATCCTCATTCTTGAAAGTGAAATTCTATATTTTGGAAATTTTGCATGAAA